AGCCTCTCTTTGGGATGGGAGCCTTTGGGCTACGTCGGGGGGGGGCTTTGGCAGACAATCCACAACACAACACACACACACACACGCACACACACCCTCCTCCCTCTCGGGACATCCTGGGGGGGCCCCCTCGCCCTCCCCTCCAGCCCCCCCCCCGGAGAGACTCACCATCGCCCCCCAAGCACGCCTGCGAAGCTCCCCCAAAACCCGGGGGGACGGCAGCCCTTTCGGCAGCCGGAGCCTCGTTTCCCTCCGGAGGAAACAAAAGGGGGGACCGACGGGCCTCCTTGTTCCGAGAGGGAGCATTTGGCACAGCGGACGCACCCCTTGCCCAGACTCCCCTTCCTCTCTAGGAATCCCGACTCAGTGGCTTTAACCCTTCGAGAGGGCGAGGCGAGAGCGCTGGGTCTCCCCAAAGAGGACCAGGGAAGGCAGCCCTTCTTGCACCGCCCTGAGTCTTCGTTTGCTCGGGCCGAAAAAATTAATTAGGGCTGATTTTCAGGGGATGTTTCATTTTATAATGATGCCATATTCTGGTTGCTGCACAATGCTACAAAATAGTGGAGGGTGGATTTTCATGTAACTAGGGCTGATTTTTGGGGTAGGGCTTTCATTACAAGCTTCGTGAAAAATCCTCCAAGGGCTTATTTTCAGGTTCCTTTTCGAAGAAACGGGTATGTTCGATGCAGCTCATTTCCATGGTATTCCATCGTATTCTAGGTATCTTTTAGCACACAGAAGATGCCAGGTTTCTGCCCGGAGGACTCTAAATGTACACCTTGATATCCCTGGCCGAGAGGGCCCAGCACACTTGCAGAGATTCCCAAACAGAATAGCTGTCTCCCCAGTCCAAGGGTCTGCGACCACAGGGGCCCCCAGCAACCCAGTATACAGCCCAGGTGCCAGTCCATGGGTTTGCCAGAACTGAGCTGCAGAGATGGATCTCAGCACCCCACCTGCCTGGTGGACGTGTCGCGATCGCGCAGGGACACGTCAGGATCAAGTGGGGCATGTCACGCTTGCAGATGGGGGTGTCTCACTTGTGTGCATGCCACCGCCATCATGCTCTGAGCCCACCCCACCCCAACAAGTCTACAGTCCCAAAAAGCTTGGGGACTGCTGAGCTACCAGATGCTGGTTAGGGTCACCTACCAGGAAACCGGCCCTACCATTAGCCATGAGGGAGGTGCCACAAGTGGCAAAGAACAGGAAGCAGCAGCGCAGGGAACTGATCAAAGGAAGGAAAGCCATCCGGGAGCTCACAAGAGTATTCCTCCAGGACAAGGTGGACAAATCATGGCTTTCCCATCGTTCTCTGGCCGTGAATTTCATCAGCCTGAGTTGGCCTAGCCATGGCTAAGGAATACGGGCAGTTATTGTTGTAGTTTTACAACCTCGCATGCTGCCTGCAGTTTGTTTGGGTGGGATGGACCTTTCTAGGCTAAGGCAACTGTCAATCAATCCATCGCTGGCCAGTCATTCCTTCCCACCTCTGAATTTAGAGACAGCCTCATCTTTCTGCTGAGTGTTCCCTCTGTTTTGTCTGTTGGAGACTGGTTGTTTGCTTGCCTTTCCCAACTTTAAGTAATAAAACATTTTTAATTTTTCTACTAGCGAAGTTTTGGTAACAACAAAGGCATATTGAAACAATATTCAACTAACTGAGCGGCTCCGAAGTGTTCATTGGCAGTAAACCTCTATTAAACAAGACATAAATTCCCTATGAGTCTTGCACTAGTAATGATGAGAATTTTTAGAAAATGGACCAAGGATAGATACTATTTTAAATTTATAAACATCCAAAAATAAATCCAGAAATACACAAGATACTTCAGATATACAGTGGTGCCTCGCATAACGAGCGCACCGTTTAACGATGAATCTGCATACCAATGCAGATTTTGCGATTGATAATGCGATCGCATACCGATGTTTCTTCGCAATGCGAGGGGGAACAGCTGTTCGGTGGTTCCAAAATGGCTGGCAGAACAACCAAAATGGCCGCCGGAACACTCAAAATGGCCGCCGGAACTCTCAAAATGGCCACCAGAACACTCAAAATGGCTGCTGGACCACCCAAAATGGGGAAGGATGGCCAGGAACTGCTCCAGGATCACCAGGTCCAGGATCTGAGCCTTGGTGTGTCTTTCTGGTTGAAGCCACTCGCGACAAAGATGATGGAGTCGGGCGCAAATCCCTCGGGGCCCCTCAGCCTCATTATAGGAGAATCCCCTGAAGCCCCAGTGATGGACCTCTGACTTGACAGCGGCCTCACCCAAGATGTTCTGCCCCGTTTTTTCACGGAATGTCCCACTGCTCACAGCCCCAATGGCATCTGGGCCACTTCTTTCTTCAGGATCAACCGAGTCTTGCTTGTCCATCGTTCTTCTATGCTCTAAAGAAACCTGCAACAGAGTCCACGGAATGCGTCTCTCTTTTCCTTCACACTAATGACTACCTGAAGAAGCACCAGACTAGTAAAATCATTGTAGAAATTAACTATATTGGCAATAAGAAGTGTGGAAATCAGATCTTGTCCCTAAAGGAGAAGTCAGAATATCAAAGGATGAAACAGAAGTTTTTAATTAGAAGTTCATTACGAATCTTGCCCATTCTCTTTCAGTAAACTACCTCTGGAGAGGGAGGTGGCTTTTAAATGTTTTAAAATAATTTTAAGAAAACAAAAAAGAAACACACTTCTATATTACATTACATTTATACCACTAACACTGAAATGTATTTCTCTTAAACATGTTGCTTTAGGCTAAGTTTTCCTTTTAATTTTCTTACATTTTCTTCTCCCCCATTCATCTCAAGAAACATAGGTATTCTCCTGTTGTACGCTCCTCCCTTTCTGGAATACACATTCCAGAAATAAAATCACTATTTAAAAAATAGTATTACTCCAAAATTTCTCCTCTTAATTCATTTCGCATGTTAATTTATTGTTAATTGCCATATCCCACATTTCTATATACCACTGCTCAATACTGATTCTGGAACTATTTTTCCAATTCTTTACAAATAATCACCTTGCCGATATAACAACTCCAGATGTTTTATGTGCATAAGATGTTCTATTCATTTCTTTTTACTTTGGTATTCTAGTTTTATTTGGTCTTTTTACTTTCCATTCACATTTTAAACAATCCCTTCTTTTTGCTTTTATTTCTACTGAGCCTTTGGGCTACGTCGGGGGGGGGCTTTGGCAGACAATCCACAACACAACACACACACACACACGCACACACACCCTCCTCCCTCTCGGGACATCCTGGGGGGGTCCCCTCGCCCTCCCCTCCAGCCCCCCCCCGGAGAGACTCACCATCGCCCCCCAAGGACGCCTGCGAAGCTCCCCCAAAACCTAGGGGGGAAGGCAGCCCTTTCCGCAGCGGGGGGCTCGTTTCCCTCCCGAGGAAGCAAAGGGAGGGACCGACGGGCCTCCTTGTTCCGAGAGGGAGCCTTTGGCACAGCGGACGCACCCCTTGCCCAGACTCACCTTCCTCTCTAGGAATGCGGACTCAGTGGCTTTAACCCTTCGGGAGGACGAGGCGAGAGCTCTGGGTCTCCCCAAAGAGGACCAGGGAAGGCAGCCCTTCTTGCACCGCCCTGAGTCTTCGTTTGCTCGGGCGCTGGACTCTGTTGCTCCTCCCTGGGTTGGGAGAGGAAGGCCTGGGGCGCCTTCCCTGCCCAGAAATGGCGGGGAAGGGAGGGTTTCCAGGCGTGCCTCAGCTGAGAGTCTCCCGTCCCCCCCAGTTGGGGGTTTGTCCGGAGCCTGGAGGGAAGTCAGAGGCGGATGCCCTGAACTCAAGAAGGGACCCTTCCCCGAAAAGGAGACAGGGGGTCATAATAATCGATGCTGCGAAAAAATTAATTAGGGCTGATTTTCAGGGGATGTTTCATTTTATAATGATGCCATATTCTGGTTGCTGCACAAAGCTGCAAAATAGTGGAGGGTAGATTTTCATGTAACTAGGGCTTATTTTTGAGGTAGGGCTTTTATTACGAGCATTGTGAAAAATCCTACTAGGGCTTATTTTCAGGTTCCTTTTCAGGGAAACAGGGATATGTTCGATGCAGCTCATTTCCATGG